GGAAGGGTGAGATTTTAGCTCTGAGCTCTGACCTCTCGACTTTCTCTTTTACATTGTTTCTGTGTTTCTTATTTAATAAGACGGTTGGTTACATCAATAAACTGTATCCTCTTTCCAAATAGAAAGAAGCAGGGTATTCTGTTCTAATTTTTTGCACTTATTGAAATGAGATGTGCCTTTTTAATATCCTATAACTTTACTGATTTACTAATCTTATGACTGTGTAAAATCCACTGTTCAAAACACTCTCCGGACTCAATGTTTCCCACAACACATTGAAAAACAAAAGCAGGAATGCTTAGTGTTTAATGAGGTAGAAGTGGAAGCAGACAACAAGGAGGAAAGAAGAGAGGAATTCAGACTTGGGTAGAAAGGGCTGCCCAGCAGGCATTCATCTCCCCCCTCCCAGACAAACAAGCTGATCCATCTTTGATTCTAGCTGTTGGAAAACTATGATGCTGAGGCCCACGGTCTTCTCTACTTCCTCCATCACCTGACTGTTACAGTGGTAAGGATGGAATCCAGGTCCTAGTGTGTGTTTCCTTCTAATGTTAAGCCACACCCACAACTCCAAAGCCAGGCTATGGCCATTTTCCTTCCTGCTCCCAGTCAGGTGTCTCTATTTAGCTATTCACAGCTCAAGGATCCAAGGGCCTGGTGTGGGGTGAGGAAGCTATCAGATGAAGAATATGCTTCACTGTGGATCTCTGCCAGGTTCATTGAATGGGGAATATTCTCTCTCCCACTCTCCCCACAAGCTTAACCAGTTTGTCATGGGTCCCATTTACCATATCTGTTGGCTGAAGAGTGGAAGCACAAGCCTTTGCCCTGGTTTCCAAGGTTGAAATCACCTTCCACCCTGCTTAATCAGAGCCCAAGCCCCTACCTTCCACACTTTCAGTAGAGGTGGGAGCAGACTGAGTTTCCCATATACAGTTGTGGATGAGAGTCATTTAGTGTTGAAGCAACCTTGTAGTGCCACATGGGTCATGGCAATTTCAAAGTCCTTTTCTAAGATTTTTAGTCTTGTATTGGACCTTGAGAAGAGGTCATCTCCAATCCTAGATGAGAGACCCCGAGGTATGTAACTGGAGTTCTGGTAGTTGTTTAGGGAATTGCCAAGGTTCCCCTCTGTCATGAACAACGAATTGAATGACTGAGAAAAACAGACCAAGTTGTGGAGAAGGGGACCATGACAGCTTTATAGATTTAGGATTGGAGAAGACTGGAAGTCTATTAAATAGATGCTGGCTGGGGTACCTTACAGGGCCCCTGAATGTCCCCTCTCCGCTTTTAGGTCTGTGTTGGTACCCATCCCTATGCCTTCTAGCTGTTTCCCCTTGAAAAGTTTTCTAGGAAGAATTGACAGTCTCAGGAAGCCTGCCTTTACTTTCCTTGAGTACCCATGGTCTTTTAACCCTCCTTCAATACATTCCCTGAAAGAACTAGTTTCATCCCCAAATACTTCTCATGCCCATCAGGGGGCAGTGATGGGCTGATCATGCGAGGACAGTGCTGCCTGCAAGACCAAGTCATTCAGAAATCATTACTGCACAGGTAGCAATGCCATTGAGAAGTATTACACAAGAGCTACCCTGTGATCTACTTCCTGTTCCATGATACCATTGGCCACATGAGTAGTGAATTCATAACTATGTTGTATACTTACTTCTTTATCATGATGGAGTATTGTCCAGGAAAAAATATTTCTACCAACAAAAGTATTCAATAGGTTCATGGACACTACCTACTTCGTATAAAAAATAGACTCAGAAACTAAACATTTTCATGTTCGACAACTTAGTCTCAGCATATATAATGTTATGTGTTCATCTCTATTGCTAGGCTCTTCAAACACTACAAATTTTCAACTGTTTGACAAGGGATTCCCTTAGAATTCAAGTTGAAGATGTCAGCCATGACATTTTCACTGTTTCTTTAGATATAATGTGTGGACAGCAGATGATAGTCAATCTTTCTATCGACAGTGTGTGCACTCTTGATTGTGTGCTCACAAGTATGTCTGGGTATCTGTGGAGGCCAAGGAGGACATCTAATCTCACAGTGCTGGAAGGACAGGAGTTTCTGAGCTGTCTGACATGGGTGATGGGAATGTGGGAATGAAAATCATTTCCTCTGCAGGAACAGCCAACACTCTTAACTGCTGAAACCCACACTTAACTCCAATCCATTAATAAATTATTGCCTAGAAATGACCACTATTACAACCACTGGTCTTCTAGAGTTAAACAAAACAAAACAAAAACTCTTAAACCAGGCATTGATTCTCTATGCAAAAGTAAATTAGTTTGCCTACTGCCTCAGTTGACACATACAAAATTACATTAAGGGACAATTCATGTTCCACTCAGAGTCCAGATAGGGCTTTGTGACTTCCCAAATGGTCTCACTGTCGGAGGGGGGGGACCTGTAGCTAGAGTTTTCCTGCCTTGCCCACAGTCAGGACAAATCTCTGTCACCCGCCAGACCCATAGCCGCTCAGACCCAACCAAGTAAACATAGAGACTTATATTGCTTACAAACTGTATGGCCGTGGCAGGCTTCTTGCTAACTGTTCTTATAGCTTAAATTAATCCATTTCCATAAATCTATACCTGCCACATGGCTCGTGGCTTACCGGCGTCTTCACATGCTGCTGGTCATGGCGGCAGCTGGCAGTGTCTCTCCGCCTCAGCCTTCCGCTTCCCAGAATTCTCCTCTGTCCTTGTCCCACCTACTTCCTGCCTGGCCACCTACTTCCTGCCTGGCCACTGGCCAATCAGTGTTTTATTTATTGACCAATCAGAACAATTTGACATACAGACCATCCCACAGCAGGGACCTTGCAGTCACGCACCAGATGGCAGTCAATGGTTGCCTTAGGGAGTGATATGGCTAAGCACCTGCCTAGTTCTCCCCAATTTCTGATGTTTTTTCCTTCACTTTCAGGTTTTCTCTCCTGCCACTAGGTGGAGCTCACATCCTCACTGCCTGTGTAGTCTTTCCACTTCTCAGTCAGACCCAATCTGAAGCAAAAGGAGGGGCCTATACATCCTCAGGAAGAGGGGCATTTGCATGGAGCCAGCCTGTATTTAGACTCCCCGGACAGATAAGAAGGGGAGCCCAGCTACAATCAGTCCATTGGAGTCAGGAAGCGGGACCTGTGTGTCTTCACCATGACTTCGGCTCCACTATTCCTCATCTTCCTTTGTCACTTAACAAGTGGGTGGATTTAAGGAATTCTGGGACAGTAACTGTTGCTTGGGATATTTGGCTTAAGTTCTTCCCTATGAATGAGGTTTCCTTGTCCTTACTGATGTATTTTATCTTCCTTTTACAGGGTCATATGCCCAGTACGTGCTAACTCAGCCAAACTCTGTGTCAGGGAATCTTGGGAGCACAGTCACTATCACCTGCCTGCGCAGCAGTGGTAGCATAGGAAACTACTATGTGTACTGGTACCAGCAGCACTTTGGAAGTTCACCCACAGCTGTCATCTATGAGGATGATAAAAGACCATCTGGGGTTCCTGATCGGTTCTTGGGCTCCATTGACAGCTCCTCCAACTCAGCCTCGCTGACCATCACTGATCTGCAGATTGAAGATGAGGCTGACTACTACTGTCAGTCTTCTAGTCACAGTGATGAGAATCATGGGGAAGTAAGACAAAAACTCCCCAGAGCAGCAGCTGTGAAATCATTTGTGAAATGGACTATGTTTTTTCATGTCTCCTTAAAAAAAGTACTGCTTTTAGGTTGCCAAGTTATAATTTCCTCTAGGTTCATTGCAAGAGTCTACTTTTTCCTCCCTCATATGGATGTCTGACCTCTTTACATTTTTAGGGTCAGTCCATGGAGTACAAAATGTTGAAGAAAGGAATTTTGGAGGGCAACACTACTGACATTTCGTGTCAGAGCCTTCCTTATATGTGTGATGTGTTTAGCATCATATCTGATCATGAGTCATTGCACGTTTTCATGTTTTCCCTCCATTATGACATCACTAATTCTCTGTATTGCCAAATGTATCTGTAAAATGGGAAGCACACTTGGGCAAAGCCACTGCTTCAAGAAGTTGTTCTAAACTATTAAGGAGGCCCTAGATTAGACTCTCACTTCCCTAAGGCATAAGGATGAGGTTTTACTCCCTGAGAGTCTGTCCCCAGTTGCTAAGCAAAACAATAGCATATTCTTATGGGGACAAAGCCTAGGTTATCCAACTCTATAGAAGCTCCAATCAAGGTCTATAATGGAATGTTAAGGGAAGACCTAGTGCACACGTAAATGTTAAAATCTACACACAGTGGATATGCAAATGTAATGGAGCTCTCCCATTCTGTGAACTGTCCTTCCTCTGGAAAGCTCTGAAGAGCATGAAAGGTGATAATGAAAGGCGACAAAGCAAGCTCAGTGAAGGAGCCCAAGAAAACCACAAATACTATATTAATAATAATTTTATCACTGGGCGGTGGTGGCTCACGCCTTTAATCCCAGCACTTGGGAGGCAGAAGCAGGTGGATCTCTGTGAGTTCAAGCTAGCCTGGTCTACAGAGTGAGTTCCAGGACACCCAGGGCTAATATTATGTACACACACACACACACACACATATATATATATATATATATATATATATATATATATATATATATATAGACAGATGTCTAATTTCAGCTCAGAAAGGTAAGTAGTGATTAAATTCAACATGCATCACATTTGAGCACATATTGGATGGCAGAGAGAAGGAAAAGCAATATGTCAAAAAGTTGGGTAGACTTTTGCTTACCTTCTGATTTATTTTACTAACAGAATGAAAACCTGGGATAGATGGATTACTCACACACCCGATTTCTTGCTCACAGTTTTTCAGTTTCATGTAATTTTCCATTTTCTGGATGATTAACCACTATAGTATATATTTTCCCCTTTCTGGCATCTTTTCCACCTCTGATAGAGATAATGAGATGCTCACGGGAGGGGTGAGGAAGGTACTAAGAGTAAACTGAGGCAATAAGGTAAAGAGTGGAATTTGTTAGATAAAACATGTAATTAAAGATGTGAAAACATGTCTTCTGCTGCAATTGTGACAGTCAAGAATAAGGAAACAAATCAGTTTAGGATCACCATAGAGGGGGGACAGGAACTTGGAGAAGAACTGTTTGTACTAATAGAGCAAAGAGACACAGCTAAGACAGCTCCAGTATCTGGTCAAGGATTTGGATGAATTTCCATGGGCATCATGCTTGGACAGTAGAACCCTGTGTTGGTTAATACTTGAGAACCACTTTGATGATTATATGAAAAACAAAAAATAATATTGTGGGTACATTTCTGGGAAATCGATCATGTAAAAATATTATTAAAATGTTACTTTGGACAGGCAGGTTGATGACAAGGTGTTTGTGGTATGTAGGACTGGAAGGCAGAGGATACTCATGCACTCTTGGAGGCTCTGGGAGAATAAACCAGACAGTTTGGAATGGACACATCTCTGAGGTGGACAAATGGGGAAGGTGTTGTAGTTTCAGTAGGAGAGACAGTAGAGCTGTAGAGAAGAAAGGAGAAGATAGGAACAGAGAAAGGAAGGAAGCAGCGTGGAGGACTTTAAAACTAAAAATTGAGTGGGTGGAGGGCTTATATGCGACTATGGAATGAGTACAACTGCAGAGAGCAAGAACCAAGGCTAAAGAGAGGGAGCTTAAGAAAATATTCCCTGTACCTCCGGGCAGTGGTAGAATTCAATTTAGAGAAACAATTAATACAGAAACAAAGTCTGTTCTCTGCATTGCCCACTCTGACAAACCCAAAAGTGGTGAATGTATGCTAAGAGATGGTCGGTAGAATTTTTTTGGCTTGAGGAAGGAAATTATTTTGAGTTATCCCTGTGAAGGGATTTATGCAGTGGGAAACCTGTTGGGGATGTGGTCACTTCCTCAGTCAGGGTCTCCATGGAGGAGGAGGGAATTTGCTGTCCATTTTTAGAGGAATGGAGAAGGTACAGCTACAGCACCTGCCACAAGCTCAGAAAATGGAAGTGGCCGCTGCCTGCCTTGGGAAGATGCACTCACCCTCTCTAGTTCTGAGATACAGGAAGTAAAGGACCAAAGCACCCCCATTTTAAGGAAGCCCCTCACCCCAGCTTGAAACATGCCTGAGTTTCAAAATTATCAGAGCTACTGACATAGGTCCCAGCACAAAGTCAGGATGTTTGGACGAAGAGCTTGGTGTTTATACATTTATTCCTACTTTGAATTCCTGATGGAGCTGTAGCTGTATAGATAGACTTTTGTCTTAGAGGAATAAAGTTAACAGACCTAAGAGCATAGTGTACATAGATTTTTTTTCCCTCAGATATCCAACGCCAGATGTAGTGTCTTCCCCGGACTCTGGGCTATCAATACCTTATGTCCTCTTTCATAACTAATGTACACTCCCTGCATTCAGTCTTCCCACATTCCCTTATATTTAGCCTTTCTCATTATCTTTTCTTCATGTTATACTGTATCCACATGTATGTTTGTTTAAATATATATATGTCATTATTGGCTAGATTCCACATATGAAAAAAACATGAGGGCGTGTGACTTCGCCTAATATTGTACATTCTCAGTCCACCCATTTCCTGGAGTTTTTTCAACTCCCTTTTGCTTTAGATATGAATAGTCTTGTGTGTGTGTGTGTGTGTGTGTGTGTGTGTGTGTGTGTGTGTGTTTGTGTGTTCCAAATTTTCACTATCCATGAATTTATTGATAAACAAGCTATGATTATTCCAGTTTTTTCCTATAGTAAATAAAGCAGCAATAAGCATGAGATACAAATATCTCTATGGTAGGGTATGGAATTCTCAGGTCATTAGCCCAGGAGTCAGACATCTGTTTGATTGCACTGTTATTTAATGTCAAAAACTCTTTGAAAGCTCTGAGTCTTAACCTCTTTTCTGAAATGTAGCTGGTGAAGATTTCCCTCCCATTCTGTGGGTTGTTTACTCTGCTGACTGTTTCCCTCGTTGCACAGATAGTTTTTACTTTCATGTATCCATCTGGTGATCCATGGGGTCAGCTTCTGTGCTGTTGCTGTTCTATAGAAAGAGTTCTTGCCCGTGCCAATATTTTGAAGAGCATCTCCTGTGTATTCACCTGAAAATTTCAGAGGTCTAGGTGTTGGTCAAAGGGTACTCTGCTCGGCAGCGGTGGCCATGTGTGTGTGGGGGGGAATGCTGATCAGAAGAATCACAGCCATGGTTACCTTTTTAGAGCTTTATTGGGAGTCCTCTTCATCAACGGATCATGGGGGCTGTGACTGTACTGTAGTTGGTCCACCATTGAACCCTAGACACCATTTACCCCCTTGTCAGGATCAAAAATGTGTCTGCCCTTGCCAGTACAGCCTGAGGACAACCCCCAGGGTGTGCATCACAAAGAATATAGCTCAGACTACAGCGGCAAGAACGGCAGACTCTCTGTGGTGACAGCAGCAGTAGCTGTGTGGGGGTCCAGTGGAGGCAGCAGGCAGCAGACATCACAGCACGTCCTCATTGCTCGGTGGTGTATCTGAGTCATGGCACCAATGTTGGTTAAACAGCACGCTGCTCGTGGCTGCTGCTGCCTGCAGCGGCCATGCAAGCAAGAAGAGTGCTGATCGGAAGAATCACAGCCATGGTTACCTTTTTAGAGCTTTATTGGGAGAGGGGGTGAGAGGGGGGAGAGGGGGAGAGAGGACAGATGTAAGGAAGGAGCTGAAAGGAAAGAAAGGGACACACAGAGGGCCTACCCGCTTTTTAGGCTGGGGCGCCATTGCAGGCTGATGAGGTAATTAAGGACCGAAGTCTTATACTAGGGTTTAGTCTTGGATCTATTTTGAATTGATTTTTGCATAAGGTGAAAAATATAAATCAAATATCTTCTTCAAGTAGAATTCCAGTTTTGCCAGCACCATGTGTTTAATAGGCCATTTTCCTCCAACTATGTTTTTGCTTTGTTAAAACTAAGTGGGCATGTCTTTGTCATTTTGTTTCTGGTTCCTCTATTTTATCTATTGATCCCTTATCTATTTTTATAATGCCAGTACCAGATTGTCTTTATAGCAATATTTGAGGTAGTTCTCATACTGTTCTCTTCTAAACATGTAAAATGTGATATTACTATTTTAGTAGTTATTTCATTATTTCTGTAAATTAATTTAGACAGTATAGACATTTTCACAATATTAAGTCTGCCAATCCAGGAACATGGGGTATTTTTCCATTTTTCCATGGGGTATGCTGTGGAATGACACTCTCCATCAGTTACTGATCATCTCTTTCCACACTGGTTCCAGAAGCTGCCTGGCCAAGCCTCTAGGCTCTGATTCACCCAACAACAACAGGCACTCCCAGTCTCCTGTCACTTTTCCCCTTAAACATAACCTTGTCCTGGGCTCTAGGGTTACAATCTGAGGACAGTGCTGAAGGCGACTGCATGAACACTGCAGTGGTGTCAGCACAGTGAGACACACATGGAGAAGCAAGACACAAACGTGTATTTGTCTGAGCCTGGGTGTAAGCCCAGTCCTCTGGAGTGGGTCCCATGACCAGGCTCTGTTGCCATCCTGATGTCGACTCTCCACAGACAAGAAGATGAAGGGAAGCATCTGTCTTCATTTGTGTCCTAGTGAGAGTCACAAACGTGGAGATATTTGTCAACTATTATGATAGAGATTTTAAAAGTACAAAATTTAAGTATTTTATTCCTCCCTTAGTTGTATTTGTTTGTAAGACTAGAGTCAATAGGTCTCAAGGGAGAAGCATTCTCAGTGATGTTGTCTGTACAACTAGATCAAAGTGAAATAACTGTCCATCCATATTTCCTAACTATTGGTATGTTACATTTAATTTGAAGGCAATGTAAATTCAATGTATAGCTTTAACACATATTTAACACACACACACACACACACACACACACACACACACACACACGGAAATAATTTCTACTCTGACATTAGGTTAGCATATTTCCCCCTAAAAAGATAAGCTGATGTGTTGAATCTGAGTACCAATGAATGTCATCTCATTTATAAGTCTGTAATGTCTAGTCAAAGGATCTCATGCTAAAGTACAGTGATTCCTCTCTGCGTTCGTTAGATGATTCTGAGAACACAAGGATGCAGTGATGGATTGCCATGTGAAACCTGATATAGGTATTGGCCCTTGTGTCTGATGACCAAATGATCAACAAAGATTGTTCCCAAACAACAGGTACAAAGGAGGAAAAGAAGAGGAGCTGTAGGGTATTTGGCTTAGCGTGTTCAATCTGCAAGTCAGCCTCCAGAAATCAGTGTGAGACAGCACAAGTCACTTGTGTTAGCCAAGTGGGTTGTTGTATGTTGTTCCTGTCATCCCAGGGAACTAACAAACCCAATCACCATTTGTGAAGTGTTTCTGAATTTGCACTCCTTTCTTTGATGCTGACTCATATGTTGTATTTAATTTTTTTTCATTTTACATACCAAACACTGTTCTCCCTCCCTCCCCTTCTCTCATCCCACACCTCCCCCATCCAACCCCCCATTCACTCCTCATATGGGGTAAGGCCTCCCTTGGGTAGTCAACACAGCCCAGCATACCAAATTTGGACAGGACTAAACCCGTCCCCCCTGCATAAAGGCTGAGTAAGGCATCCCACCATAGATAATGGGCTTTAAAAAGTCTGTTCATGTACCCAGGATAGGTCCTGTTCCCATTGCCAGGGGCCCCACAAGCAGATCAAGCCACAGAACTATCCCCCACATTCAGAGGGCCTAGCTCATTCCCATGTAGGTTCCCCAACTGTCAGTCCAGGGTCGGTGAGTTCCCACTAGATCGGGTCAGCTGTCTTTGTGGTTTTTCCCATCATGATCTTGACCCCCTTTGTACCTGTAGTCCTTCCTCCCTCTCTTCGACTGAACTCTAGGAGATCAGCCAAGTGCTTGGCTGTGGGTCTCTGCAACTGCTTCCATCAGTCACTGGATGTAGGTTCTGTGATGGCAATTTGGGTATTCATCAATTGAGTAGAGGGGAAAGCTAGTTCAGGTACCCTCTCCACCATTGCTAGGGGTCTTACCTTGGGACATCCTAGTGAATTCCTGGGGATTTCCCTACCACCAGGTTTCTCCCTAACCCCATACTGGCTAACTATGTAAGATATCTCTTGAATTGCTCTCCCTCTGCATCCCTCCCCACACTTGGCCATCTAAATCCCTTATGTTTCCACCCCCATTTTTTCCATTCTACCCACTCCCTCCCATTTACCCAGGAGATCTTAACCCTTTTCCCATCTTGGGGTAATCCATGCATGTCCCTCTTAGGGTCCTCCTCTTTACCTAGCTTCTGTGTGGCTGTGAATTATATGTAGCCTGGTTATCTTTTGCTTTGCATCTAATATCCACTAATGAGTGAGTACATACGATGTTTGTCCTTCTGGGTCTGGGTTATCCCATTCTTGATGATTTTTTCTAGTTCTGTCAATCTGCCTACAAATTTTATGATGACATTTTTTTCTACCACTGCATAATACTTCACTGTGTATATATACCACATTTTCTTTATCTGTTCTTCCATTTAAGGGTATCTAAGTTGTTTCCAGGTTCTGGCTATTACAAATAATTCTGCTAAAAACATCGTTGATCAAGTGTCCTTGTGGTGTGGTTGAGCATATTTTGGGTATATGCTCTGGAGTGATATTGCTGGGTATTAAGGTAGGTTGATTCCAAATTTTCTGAGATAGTGCAGTATTGATTTCCAGAGAGGCTGTACAAGATTGCACTCCCACCAGCAGTGGAGGAGTGTTTCCTTTCTCCACATCCTCTCCAACATAAGCTGTCTGTGTCATATTTTACTCTCAAGGATGTTAACATTTTGGCTCTTATATCTAGCTTTATAACTGCAACTAAACTCTAAAGTTAACTTTCAGTCTTAATTCATAAAGATATCCCTCCTCTTTTAATATTATAATACTGTAAGCAATGACAGAGAAGTGCAGCTTCTAGAAGAAGCCATTTCTTCTATGGTGTCCACCTGTGAATGTATGTTCCTGTAAGTATTACCTTGTTATTAGAAGTGAGTGAACTGTATGACACTGAGGGACATGCCTGTCATTTATAGTGGGAAATCTTAAGGAAGTTAATCCTGGCATATAATACACACAAAGGGAGTTATGAAGTTCTTTTGCTGAACATGGTGGTAGGAAACAGAATAAATAGAGGAATCAGAAAAAGTTCATAGCCAAAATATCAACATTTTGTAGCCTGTGTTAGTTCAATCCTTGTTAGAACACAGGGTACATATAGATCTTGCATCTGTGGGTCAGAAGTGGGGCCTGACATTTCCTTCCCAAGAAATTCACATCACTATATAAATATCAGCAATAATAAGAAGGACCTAAAATAAGGGAGAACCACAGGTGCACAGAAAGTAGCAACAAATCATGAAAGAGTCAACATGTTTTAAAACTTTATTTATTTACATATTTATGTAATGATTTAGTGTGTGTCAGTGTGTGTACGTGCATGTATGTGTGTGTGTGTGAGTGAGAGAGAGAGAGAACGAGAGAGAGAGAGAGAGAGAGAGAGAGAGAGAGAGAGAGAGAGAGGGAGGGAGGGAGAGAGGGAGGGAGAGAGAAATATTAGAGGACAACTTGCATAAGTCAGCCATTTCCTTCCACCATGGTTTGTTCCAAGAATCATCTCATATTGTCAGGCTTGGCAGCAAGTACCTTTATATGCTGAGCCTTCACAGCAGTTAAAGGTCTAATTAGTGAGAAAGAGGAGGGTTTATATGAGTGAGAATTGTTGAAACCAAGGTTGGATAAAGCACAGGGACAAATAGCCAAATGAATGGAAACACATGAACTATGAACCAAAGGCTGAGGGGCCCCCAACTGGATCAGGCCCTATGAATAGGTGAGACAGTTGATTGGCTTTATCTGTTTGGGAGGCATCTAAGCAGTACCAGGTCCTGTGCTCAGTGCATGAGTTGGCTGTTTGAATCCTGGGGCTTATGCAGGGACGCTTGGCTCAGTCTGGGAGGAGGGGACTGGACATGCCTGGACTGAGTCTATCAGGTCAATCTCAGTCCTTGGGGGTGGCCTTAATCTGGAGGTGGTGGGAATGGAGGGTGGGCTGGGGGGAAGGGGAGGGGGGTAGGAAGGGGGAGAATAAGGGAATCTGTGGCTGTTATGTAGAACTGAATTGTACTGTAAAATAAAAAAAAGGGTTATGAAAAGATACAATGTACAGTTCGATGCATTGCTTCGATCAGGGACAAAAGAGGTCTAGGTTGGTCTTCCTTCCTTCCTTCCTTCCTTCCTTCCTTCCTTCCTTCCTTCCTTCCTTCCTTCCTTCATTCCTTCATTCCTTCCTTCCTTTTCTTCTGTCTTTCTGTCTTTCTTTCCCGCTTTCTTCTCTCTCTTTCTTTCATTGTTTGTGCCAGTTAACATTATTCTAAAATATTTGATTACATTATTTAAAGTTTTTATATAACATATTTTGAGCATGTTCTTTCTCTTCCTCCAACACCTCCCAGATCTTTCCAACTCCCTACCCAACCAACTTTATATTCTTTCTTTCTCTCAAACTAAAGAAAACAGAAAAATAACAAAAAAACAAAACAAATCAACTAAAAAAAGAAAATCAATTAAATAAAATATACCGAAACAAAACAAAAAGTACATGTATACACACACACACACACACACACACACACACACACACCATGCATTCTGTTTTCTGCTGGCCAGCTACTGCCTGAGTGTGTTTATTATAGTTGGTGATATCTCACTGGAGAAAACTGATTTTCTCTTTTCTAGAAGTTATGTATTACGATAACATCATGGCTAGGGGCTGAATTTTAGTCTACTTCTGTTTCTTGGTGCTGAAATTTTGTCTGGTTCAAATGTGTCATGTACATGCTTTCACAGTCTCTGTGAGTTCACATGTGAATCAGGCCTGTGGTGTCTGGAAGATGCTCTTTCATTAGAGTAATCCACTACATCTGGCTCTTACTTGTTTCTATTTTGTATTCTACATATTCCCTGAGCTAAAAGGGGAGGAGTTTGACAAAGAAATTCCACGTAGACAGTTTCTTTAACAGCATATGAGTTAAAGCATGCCTCAGCAAGTATCACCTGGTACCCCTCTTGCTCCTGCCCAGTCTCAGCAATGATTTCTCTTCCTATCTTGATTCGTTAATTCTTTTTTCGAATTTAGGGCTGTACTCCTTTCTTCCATCCCCTTAAAGCCCCTGCAGATAGTTAATGTATTTTTATATCAGATGCATACTAGGGAGGGTTCCCTGAGTTTCTTTGGAAGCCGTAACACCCATTCATTCTTCATGATGCTCTAATCCTTAATTAAAAACCATCACAGGCCCACTGCTTTTTAACCCAGTGAATGCAATGTCTGCTTTGTTTTGCCTTCTGATTTTCTTTAAAAAAAATATTTCTAATGCATTAAAGCAATATGACACTATAATTTTATCCTAGTAGTCACCAATATTCACCAGTAAATCTTTATGCATCAATATGCTGAGGAACCATGGAGGGCTGTGGCTTCTTGTGCAATCTGAGAAGGGGCTCATGGAGGAAATTTCTGTGTCTTCAGTCTGTATGGGAGAAGCCACTGGATGAAGAGCTCCTCATAAATTCAGTCTACATATTGTGCCCAGAGGAGGCAAGTCCTTCTGTCCTTGATCAGAAAGTGTTTGATGATCACAGCCTTGGAAGAAGTCACGTGGACACGGACATGGTAGACCTGAACCTGCTCAGTGGGGTCTGTAGGTGACATTGAAGAGTCTGGAGACTCAGCTGACAACACAAACATCTGTCTCTTTGTGTCTGCTCAGGACTCAACAGGGCCACCAGCTGGGGTCACTGTGGTCCCTTGGGCAGCCTCAGGCAGGAAGTGACACCCAGGCTCTTGATGGCAGACACACCTGAGAAGGGATTTGGTTGACTGAGAAAAATTTGCATGAAGGGCCCTGTCAGTCCTCTGAGAATTGTTAGAGGACTAGAGAGACCTGCACCATATCTGTCTCAGCAGAGCTCAGTGGTGTCTGCACTATGGCCTGGACTCCTCTCCTCTTCTTCCTCCTTCATTGTTCAGGTCAGGAGTCATCTGCACCCTGATCCCAGTTCAGGGAAACCATCTGACAGCAGATACATTCTCCTCTCTTCTCTCAGCATGGACATAATGAGTTTCTCTATTTTCAGGGTCTTTCTCCCAGCTTGTGCTGACTCAGTCACCCTCTGCCTCTGCCTCCCTGGGAGCCTCAGCCAAACTAACCTGCACCTTGAGTAGTGAGCACAGCACCTACAACATTGAATGGTACCAGCAACATCCAGAAAAGAATCCCAAGTTTGTGATGTATCTTAAGAGTGATGGAAGCCACAGCAAGGGGGATGGGATTCTGGACCGCTTCTCTGGCTCCAGCTTTGGGGCTCATCGCTACTTAAGAATCTCCAACATGTAGCCTGAAGATGAAGCTGACTACATCTGTGGTGTAAGTTATAGCAATGGATGATCACAGTGAACTAGATAAATGAGGAAGCAGGACAGGAACTGTTTTGCTCTCTTGCTACAAAGGCCTACAATTGTGATAATGAAACTATGAAGTTCTTAGCTATCAGAGTCATTGAATGTTTTCTGCTTATTACTCATAGGTCTAGCACTTCCTCCTGAACTCCTGGAGAAAGAGGAAAAAAGACAAGGATTATAAAGAGTCACTACTCTGTAATAATGCTGACTACGTAAAAGTCAAAGGTGGTGTATATATTGGTGAGATCAGAATATAATCCTTTCAAGTTGGAGCAGTGTGTCTAAGGCTCTCACTGTTACTCAACAAAGTTCATAAAAATGTCTGTTCTCCATAAGATGGCTTTCTTGTCTCATGTTCAAATTGTTTTGTAACTTCCGCAAATTCCCAAGAAGCACCGAGTAAGAACAATGGAGGTGGCAGTGTGATTGAAGCCCGTGGTTGCCAAGGAAAAGAAAAATGAAGAACAGACACGAAGGTGGAGCAGACCAATTGAATGTACATGACCTCCATGTCCCTCCTGACACTCGCGCTTTACTTAGTGAGCCACCCAGAGACTTTGAAGGAAGAACAAAGCAGCCATCATGGGGTTTAGTCTCTGCCAAACTGCTTACACATGACCTTGCTGTATTCCCCTCCAGGCCTCACTTTATGCACACTGACACCATCATTACCATCTTATTATAGGCTTAAAATGACCAAATAATTTACAAGAAACCATGAACACAAACAAAAACAAAAACCCTAAATGTTTACAAAAGGCTCCTGTTTTGCCAGGATCTGGCTTCCAATCTTTTGAACAGGATTTCAGGAGCATGTGCTGGTGACCATGTCAGAGGAGCAGCAGATGTCAATTGATTTCAGGGGATCAATCCACCAGGAAACAAATCCCTGATGGGTGAATCTTTGATAGTCAAGGCCCTGAGGGAGCCTAGGTCCTAGAATGTTTCTTACTATTGCTGTGTCTTTGTATATTTGCGACTGTCATTTTCTCTGGTATCTGGCATGGTGTGAATTGGCGCTGGGAGATCCCCACTGCCTGTAATGTAGTGTGATTATCTCAGGGAAATATTCCATTCTATGAGGCATTTTTACCTGTGGGTTATTAAGGAGATGATTTCCTCCTGTTTAACTATTTAACTGAAGCAATGATTTTATGCAATAATAGTGTTATTTTAAATATGATTTTGATGATTGAAGGTTTTTTAATAAATATAGTAAAGAATTAAAATAGAGGTTCATTTAGTGGAAAACTTAACATAGGGAAAGGTAGGATAAAATGTTGCCCCTGACTTTGATAAAGCAGAGGCTGCAGAGGGTAAAAAATAAAACATGGAAGAGTCAACAGCTAGAACACAGGCGTTTCGATTGAAGAACTATATAGACTGTGGCTTAGGTTAATGATTAAGGAAAACGACTGAGTCCCAGAAGCCCAGCTAGTTTAATTCTTTGTATCTTTATGATGGGAGATGTATTAACAGGTTTCAGAGAGCAACAGAGCTGAAACAAAGCTTTGAAAACATCTTAAGGTTAGATTAAGATGTTTTCCTCAAATAGCTTTAAGGTGAAAAACACCAAAAGATTATCTAAAGTTTTAGGAAGGCATGTAGGTGAGTGATAGATTCATTAAGGTTAGTTATCAAAAACAAAGCAGCCCAATTATTATCAGCCAACACACCTTTGTTGCTAGGATGGGTTGGTGACCAAAGGCAATGATTAATTCCTTGTGTCCATTTCTACCCCCAGCTTCCTGATATAAAAAATGTGTTGATGAGTGGGTTTGGTATGCACCCTGGGGATTTAAAATAGACCTGACATTATTTTTCATATATAAAAGTTTAGATTTATGATTCTTCTAAGATTTCTTATAAGGTTACCTTTCAAGGTAAGTAGTAGAGTAATTGATTCTCTCTTTATAACCACAGTATGCAGCCTGCCAGGAAAAGAACTGTGCTTGCTTATGCTGTGTGAATCTATAACAAGTTGCTTGGAAATGAATGTATGTGGGTTTTGGAAAAAACCTGCTTTTTTGCCTGTAATATGTAAAAATGTTTAATCATATAAGGGTTATGGAATACATGCTGGTTTTTACTTGTATTCATTGTAATAATTCACTGGAAAAATAGAATGTAACCACATTGTAATCTTTATGTTTCTTGAAAGGTATTTGCTAGAGTATCTAAGTTGTATGAGAGAAAATAAACTGAGTTGGAAGGAAAATATCAGAATGAGAAAGAGAAAGCACCAGGAGAGCTGTAGAGGAAAAATAAGAACAAGAATAGAGAAAAGGTTGGAAGGAAACCATCAAGAGTGTGTGCATCTTTTCCTTTACCCCCTCAGATGAAAAAGTCTTAGTTCACTGACTCTGTGGATCCCTTTGAGCCCTGTGCTGCTGGAGGCTGGAACTCATGGCACTAGTATGTGGTTATATTTTATTTTTATGTTAATAAATAAAGTTTGCCTGGAGGTCTGTACAATAAGACCATTTAGAAATTTGTCTACAGTGGTCGGGATGACTAGCAAATTAAAGTTTTCTGGAGAAGCCTCTGAAGCCAAACTCATGCTTCATAATCCCACAGCAGCAGGCACTGAGGGCTGCTGTGATGTTCCCTTGGATCAGGACGCCACAGCAGTAGGTCCTGAAATCTGCTAGGAGATTCCATTGCGTTCCAACCGTCTTGAGTACTTACTTGGAATGGCATTTTTTTTTCTTTTTTGTTCTTTCTTTCAGATGGCGAACGGAGCTGATAGCCTGCTTTTTCTGGTGCTTTGGGCTTCCTCACTCTTCCCCTAACACTTCCTTCCCTCTCATGTAGCTGATTGAACCCTGTAATAGTTATTTTTCTATTGCTTTGATAAAACACCATGGCCATGGTATCTCATAGGAGAAAGAGAGTTTTCTGGACTTATGGTTTCAGAGGTATAAGTATCCATGTTGGTGGAGGAGTGGCAGGCATGGCAACAGGAGCAGAAACTGAGGGGCCCACATCTCAAATATCAAGCAGATAAAATTGGTATTGTGCAAGGCTTTGAAACTGCATTCCCATTAACATACCTTCTCTAGGAATATCACACCTCCTAAACTTATCTGACAGTACCACTAACTTTGGAGCAAGTGATCAAATGCCAGAACCTATGGGGAACATTGTCATTCAAATCACCACATCCACCATGCAACTGATCTCCATGCTGGCTTAACTCAGCAACATGAATTCTTTCCGGCAATGAAGACTACAGGAGCCTGGGACGATGAGGTTCTGGGTAATCTCTGTCTTTTTTTAAGTAGATTTGAGAGCTGCCTGGTCTGCACTTAAGCAGAATTTATGTTTCCCAGACCTCTGATGATATTGATGACTAGGTTAGCTATAACTTTGTCACCTTAGCAGCAACAGACACCCAGAGTCCTCCACAAGGCTGCATCCACCTTGTTAATTAATTGCTCAATGCATTAATTAATTAAAGCTACTGGGTCTCTAAAAAAAAGGACAAACAGGTTTTCCTTACTCACAGACTTCAGAAAAGATAAATAGATTTAAAACATGATACAAAATGGTTTAAGTTATATAAAAAATATTACAAGATTTCTTTCCTTCACCATGCTGCAATTGCATTGAACTTTCAAAAATTCAGATTTTTAACATCAATAGAATTTTGACAAGTTAATAGAGCAATGACTGCTTACTGTTTGAAGCACAAGCTCCAGATTTTAAGTTTCTTTTGGTTACCTTCAAAATATAGATTTAAAGATGCTTCTCATCAAGCCAAAGATATCTCTGTTTAATCTATTCGTGGCTCTCTGGACAGAAGGACAATGTACATGCCTTTAACACAAATCTGTAGTCTACTTCTGCTATTTCACAGATAACTGTTACTTGATTTTTCTACAATATGAATCACAATACAAATTGTAAATGTTAATATATCTGAAACTTTTAGGTCTTTGAATTCATATAAGCTTCAAAGAATCAAGAAAATCATAAAACTTGGATCCACTTCTCAGGTCAAAGGGATTCCAAATAAATGCAGGTGAGTTACTCTATCTCTCTGTTCCTGGGGATGGCATTTTTCTCTCTCCTGGTCTTGGGAATTCTCTCCCCTCCTCAACTACTAAGATTATGGGTCTAAAATTTCCAAATAAGTTGATAAATTTTAACTTCTGTTCCTAGTTTATATCTGTCTCAACAGAATTCCACTTGACTTACAGACACCATCCAAGCATCAGTTGCTGACCACAACCTGCTCCAAATGACAGCAAGCCATGACTTTCCTGAAAACTGATATGGACCAACCTAACCGATATAAATATTGTTTCTTCAGCTGGTCAATGAACCAGATGCTTCTAAGTTCTCTCCTTACCTTTGACTAACATCCTACCTTTTTAGGGCCCTGAGAACAATGTCCTAATATCAGCAAGATAGTAATTGCAGAAGAGAATGTGTTGGCCTTGTTCCACCCTCCTGGTATGTTAAATTAAAAGGGAATTTCCTGTCATAGGCAAACTGTGATAAGGTAATGACTGGTCCCGTTTCTCATTTCCAAGTTCCTTCTAGATAAGGAACTCTGTCAGTTTTTGGCACTCCTGCTTCTGCTAATTGCAGTTGGCTCTTGTGTCATTGATGCCTTAAGTAAATGATGAGTCCTCTCTGGGTACCATTAAGTTAATGATGCTGAAATTCCAATATCAGTCCCTGGACCAAACCCATGACATGCTTGCAGATGACACCAACCAAATTAGGGAAGGCTCAGTTAGCCATTATTAAGGGAAATGGTCTCTGTTTGAAACAACCACTTCAAGGCTATTCCCACCTCTGTAGTTTCACTTAGCATCCAATGGAAATCAGCTTACTGATCCTACTGAAAGGCACCTGATAGACATATCCCTCTGGCTTGACCCCCTATGTTAATATTCAGGTAATAGATGGAACAAAAGACTCTTG